GCGCGCTCATCACTCTGGACGACTTGAGGGAGGTAATGGAATCAGATATGGAGGCAGTGGCAAAATGCTACAAGTTGCAAGGCCTACTCTCCACCGGCATTGCACAATTAGAGTTTCGAAAGCCTTAATTATACATTGGGCATGAATCTGCACTGAATTGTGGCCAAAGAAAAGATCTATCATTAGGTGTTTGCTGGAAAGAGTTCTTGGAATCACTTGTTATGTGTCCAAAGCTGAACATGTGTTCTTGGTTAAGGGGTTCCTGCATTCAGCGTTTTTGGCCCTGGGTTGGGTCTGAGCAAGTGTTTGGTCTCTTCAGTGACTCACAACGAGTCTTCGAAGCAACAAGTGTTCAGACTCAATGTCATTAGTTTCTGTTTCATTGAAACAGCTGCTGCTATGTCCAACTCAGGAGAGATGAACATTGCCTCGGTGGTGAAGCGGCTGTCGGCATCGTCATCGCCTCCAAGGCAATGTTGCTATTCAGTCGAACTGAAACCAAAAACTATAAGGGTGATGGTTTCTTTGGAAAGGTCGGTTCGCAAGACCATCGCCAAGAAGACCAAGACTATTGCTCCTACTAAGAGGAAGACCCCATACAGGCAGATCCATGTCATGACTTGCACGTTTGTTCTTGTAGGTCCAAACAATCATCTTGTTCCTAGGAAGTTCTTTCCCAAGACCAAGATATTGAAAGCTACTTCTGCGCATCCTTGTGGGCCTCGCACTATCAATGCAAGCTTTGGCTGGGCCAATGAGTTCTTAGCAAGATTGGGCAACACGTTTGGGAAACGTGAAGTGCAAAAAAAGCTTGATAACTGGAGCTGGGACGTTACCACTTGCTTCTCTGGTGTTGGTTGTGCTGAAACAGTCTTGAACTCAGACTCAGATTGGAATGTCCTACAAACCTTTTTTTCACCTAGGGTCCTGAATCCCTCAAAGCCAAGACCCAGGCGATCCGATGCCTAGAGGCAGCGTCCCACAAGTTTGGCAAAACATCTGGACTTCGCCAACATGCCAGGTTGCTGTGGGGGTGTGAGAAGGACAAAAAGTGCCAGGGCGTCTTGATGGACACTCACAAGGGATCATGTTTGTTTGGGGACATCATGGACTTTGACCCGAAGAAATCGGAACTCTTTTGCCTCCAGCACAAGCAAATGTGCCCTTGCAAAGTGGGCCACAAGGGGAAAAGAATTTCAGCTGCATGTAACACAATTGATTGAAATATATAGGAACACACTCCAAACAAAGACCTCTCCACCGACACACACACACACACATACGTCCCTCAGGTATCAGAGTGAATGTGGCAGGCAAGGTTCATCAAAATATGTCATGAGTGGTGTTATTTCTTCTGCCCCATCTCGCCCAAGCTCTGCCTTTGCCTTTGTCAGGTGCACCGTGCCAACCATTCAGCCTGATGGGCGACTGCGAGCGGGAGAACAGCTGGAAGTTCAAAACGCATGAAAGGTACCATGAATCGGTACATTCAGGATCCATTGCAGACTTGTTGGTGCTTGAGAATGTCCCGGAGTACAACATGAAGGAGTTCTGTTCTCGGTATCTTGGTAGTGGCTGGGGTTGCATCACCACGGTCATTGACCCAAGACTTCTCGGATTTGGGAACAGTCGAGCAAGAGTCTATGGCCTGGTGTGGAAGAAAAGCGTCTTGAAACCCGACCCCAAGTATGATTTGATGGCTATCATCGAAGCTGTGAAAGCTCGACCAATGATGAATGCGATGTCATTTTACTACCTCAAGTTGGACACATCAACTTTGAGTGAGAGTTGTGTCCCTCAGCTAAGACTTGCAGTTTACTCACCGCATGTTGTAAAGTAACTCCATGCTACCGCAAGTCATGCTTTCTCACAACCTGAGGCTGCGAACCTCAAGGACTACAATGGCCTGTCCAAGGAATGGCAGATCGCTGACCTGACGCAACTGGCCCGCACAGGTCGAGCAAGGACTGAGACTTCCGATGGCTTCTTGCCAACCTTGACTACCAACTCTGGTCGTTTGTGGTCCAAGGCTCCTGGTTTGTGATCGTGCATAGATGTGCATAGGTGGGTTGGTACCTGGTCTGTAATCATTTCCTTCCTTGTCCAACGCAGGTGGAACGCAGGTTTCTATCACCAACTGAGATGCTAAATGCCCAGACCTTGCCGACATCAGCAACTCACTCTCGTTTGTGTGGGGCTCCATGCTTGCAGCTGAAGAAGGCCTCAGAGACAGATCAGGTACGCATGGCTGGCAACTCCATGAGTGTGCCTTGCGTCGGCCTGTTCCTTTTGAGCGCCATCATGCTGATGGAGCGTGTGCATTGATTTCAAATCATTTCTTTTCGGTTTCAATTCGATGAACAATTCAGAACAAGCTGCAAAATGCAAACCTGAATGCGACATGGTGAAAAGAAGCCACTACCAGAAACATCACAATAAGGATAAGTTGGAAAGCAAGGCAGTGGCATACTGCTGATTTTAAAGCATAAAGGGTTTCCATCATCATAGCAATTTTGGAGGACAGTTGAGCTAGACCTGTGCCAACTAGCTGAGATGGGTAAGCGCGGAACCTCTTCTGCGCCACCATCTGCAAAGGCGCAGAAACTCGACCGCCTCAAGCCATGGGTGAGCAAGATGATCAACGCTGTACAGTTTCTAGAATTAATTGGGAGCATCCTACTGGTCTTGGTACAGTGAAAGCACCCAAGTCCTGAAAATATAAGGTGGTTGGATCCGACGGATGGAAAGCACCCTGTACAATTCCTTCTCGACAACCTGACTCTGGATATGTATGGACCTTTGAATGATTGGCTTCAAGATGTGATGAACTCGGAGCAACAGCTGATGGTCCCAGGGGATGCAAAGATTCCGGACAGGGGGATGTTGAGTGGGGATGTCCATGCCTTCGATCCTAGAACATCCTAGAACTCGTGTGTTGAGGTCTGAACTTGAACTCGAACGCAGGACTCCAGAGAAATATTTACATTGCCTTTGCTTTGCTTCTTCCCCAAGCTAGCGCACGACGGCCTTCCTGTCTACCAGGATTGGATCACACATGCAACCAGCATATGGACAATCGGCTATGAAGCATGGAGAGAACCAGTCGAGATCAAACCCGTTGATCCTGGTCACATTTCCAAGCCTCTCACCTTTCGGTCTGTGGAGGTCACTAAGGGTTGTGGAAGGATCAGCATCCTCTTCTTCACAGTTGTCCACAACTTTCTCAAGTTCAAGAATGCCTTGACCAATGAGGAGCTCTGTGAATTTCGTGAGCCTCTCGGCAGCCCCCCCCTCCATAGACTTACCCGCTACTAAAATGGAGGCCCAACTAAAAACTATCATTTCCAATATAAATGCGTCGCCTTTGAGGAAGTCATGTTCTCGAAATTTCAAAGGTGACCTTCTCACTGAGAACGTCGTCTTTGCATATGAATATATGTAGTGAAGGTGACCTTCTCAATGAAAAGGTCGCCTTTGGTACCCTATGGCACGCGAAGGATTTAATAGAGGGACCATGGGGGACCATAAGGGCAACACACCAAGCCATTCAGACCTGGGGGCAAAGGTGATGTTTTCTATGAAAAGGTCGCCTTTGGCATATCATAGGTATCCTATCCCAGGTCTGAAAGGTGACGTTTTCACCACCAGGGTCGTCTTTGAGATTTGAGGCACCCAGGTTCCCCAAAGGTGAGGCATTTATGTTGGGTAGGAGTTTTGAAATGCTCATCAACTCATCTGATTTCAACATTGGTAAGCACAAGTTCTTAGCTTTGAGCAGGACTAATCTTAGCCTTGAGGAGGACTAATCTCTTCTTGAACAGGATCAATCTCAGCTTTGAAGGGGACTAATCTCAGTGCTGAATTGGGGTCATCTTGGCCTTGAACAGGATTAGTATTAGCCTTTAAACAAGACTAGTCGTGGCTTGTTCAGGACACGTACACTCTCATGCCTTCAGGTGATCTATAGGCAAAACACAAGAGACATTCAGGTGATCTATAGGCAAAACACAAGAGACAAGGTATCAATCTTAGGTGAACCCACAGGGTATCAGGATAACTTCTCGTTGAAACTCACCAACTTTCAGCTGTTCATCAATGCCTTATTTCACTTAGTCAAACCCTCAAATTTTTGCAATGAGTTATAATGTGTTATAATGGTTTACTTGCTTCCTAGAAATCAGAGAGGGGGTTTATCAGTCTCAGACCCTAACACTCAATCGGAACCAAGGTGGCTCAAGACGGCTTTGAAGGTGACATGTACGTTTGTCCCGCAAACCTGCGAGCAAAACTACATATGGCGCAGGCTCCAGGTGTCCCAGCAACAAGCTGAAAGGCAGAAGAAATCGATTCTTCAACAGTGCCTCATGTTTCATTCAAGGGCTGATGCCATTACGAAGGACAATGTTGCCTTTTCAAATTCTAGTGTTTTGCCTCCAGAATTTCAACCCAGTGATCATTGACCCATCAGTTCTACTTGCTGGCAGGAAAACATGAATGGAGACTACAAAGCTGCCTGGGATGCAGCGATTGGGGAGTACAATAATTATGGCCTGGCCTTGCACAACCATCAGCATCGGATTGACACCGCAACCTCTTTGCTGATGTACGGGTTCAAGGTGGATGCATGGCATGCATGGCCTGGCCTTTGTTAAGTAAGGGTCCAATCCAAATGTATATAGGTCCAGTCCAAAGGTAGGGTAAACCTTGCATTGCAGGTGGGTGTGGCAGAAGAATCTTGGACCCTCATCCAGAAGCACTTGCATATGAACAAGTTTGCCAACTCAGGCCTGCCATCAAGGATTAAAATCAATTGATTTCAGCAAAAGGACACCCCCATACACCCCCATATCCTTAAACTTTTCGAAGTCTCCCCAAGTTCCCACCTTGCGTCCAAGACACCGCCCTGTCCAGCTTTCAGCTGGGAGCTGCTCGTGATGAGTCGATGGCTTCTTGAAGGGTTTCCTCGCGGAGCCGAAGGTATTTGGTTCGAAGTGCTGGTGATGAACGCCCCCAAACAAGTCCTTTTTCTAGAAAGGATCCTGTTCCTCTTTGAGTTGAAGAAAAGGAAAGCAGGAAGGGCCCAGATCCTAAGGGTCAGTCCACCAGAGTGGCACACGGAATGTGACATTTGCACTTTGGGTGGCTATGTGATGGAAGCCATGGAAACAGCAAGAGATGACAACAACCTCCTCATCTTCAAGCCAGAGACCATCAAGATGGTGAGGAACAGGTTCATTGAGGGGCATCCTGGTCAATGTTATGTAGTTTTGCAAGGGTTTTGTTTTTGACTTTAAAATCTTGTGGGTAACTGCAAAAAGCATTATGCAACCTAATGACCAAAGATCCAGCCCAGGGACTATCATGACGATATCACACCGCTGGTGGAAAGCAGGGACCTGCTGTTCAAGGTCAGTGATACATCTATGTGGGCAGACAACGTGTCCAAGGAAATCCTACCTAGCCATGACCAGCTGTGTGAGGCAGATGGCAAGATCGAAGAGCTTCAGTTACAGCAAAACAAAATGCAGTACGATGCAGATGCCCTCTCGCTTGCGCGAGATGCTGCGCAACTTGCCAAGCTGTATCAACAAGAGAAAAAATGTGAACGCAGTGAGCGCCTGCAGAAGGTGACCCATCTCAAGCAGGAGAACCAAATCGGCAGTGGCCTTGTCATGCAGCACATGAACAAATACTGTCGGCATCTTGCGGGTCCCGTCTCTGACATGACCGATGAGATTGTGCAGGCAAGTGGGTGAATACATTTCAGTCAAGACTCCAAGACTTGACGTGTACTGTATTGATTTATTTTTCAATGTGCAATGGGGTCCCTAATTGCAAACAGTATGGGGTACCCACAGGTGTGTTGATGAAAATTTTTTGAAGTCTTGTCTTGATGACCCTGAGTTCACATCGAAGCTGAAGGCCGAGAATGGATCTCTGGTGGTTTGGTTGGACTTCATGAAGTATGGTGTGGTCAGCAAAGATGAACTTAACCATACAGTGGCCATGCTTTCGAAAGCCCTGAGCTCCATGCCAGACAAGGCAATTGGGTTCGTGATCGCGCCGAGTTCGCAATCTGAGCGGAGGTCCGGCATCAGAGAGGAGTTGAGGCCAGGAAGGGGTTTCTCTTTCATACTTTCCAAATCCTTCCAATTCATCACATATTTCAACATTATGAATTGAACATATCATTGCCTAGGAGGGTGGAGAATAAATTGGACGCCAAAAGCTTGGAAAGCGAGTCCATCCTTCTTAGATTGGAAGATCCACCAGCGACGAAGAAGGTGCAGCTGAACTTTCCTGGATGGTTAGTTTACCAAAGTGGATGTGCGACTTCCAATGGTTGGCTTCAATCCCAATTGATGCAGGACAAGAATCTTGGATTAAAAAGGTGAAAGGTTTACCAAGTGGTGGAAAGGACTGTCTACGGGTTTCGTTTTGTGCAAAGGTTCATGGAGCTCAACCAACCTTCAAACCTTGTGATTACTTGTAGTTGGGAAATAGTTCATGCATGATCCTACCAAATAATACATAGAGAAGCAACCCTCCAAATGGACCCATCCATGCAATCTAAGGTGTGTTCGGGAACTCCTCCCTTGGATGCCTGAAAGCGGATACCTGGTTCCCACGGCTGAAGCTGTCCTGCACGCTTCAGAAGGAGCAAGGCTGGAGTTGAACAAAAACACCAACAACATCAGAATCAATATTCATGTCATTCAGTGCCAGTACCCCCATATCTTACAAAGGTTCAGTCACACACTGCCGCCAGCTCGCACAAACACAGTCTCCCTGTCAGGGCGCTTTCGTCCAACCAGGAGACCGCACAGCTCCTGAGCGGAAGCGCTATGCCCAAGGCAGTGCTCTCCAGCCTGTTGAGCGGAGCAACTGGGATTGGACAGGTCATTGGAGTGCTGAACTTGTCACCATATGACGCGTGGCTGGAATCAGTTTGCCTCAAGTGGGGCCCTCGAACAGATCGTGACCTGCGCACTTTGTCTGTTTCTGGCAACTTGAACTATGTCCAGTTCTCGCAGAAACAATGTGCTCTGATCCTGCTGGAGGACCTTTCTTTCTTTGGTTGTGCTGGTGATTCCATTTGTAGCCATGGGGCGATGGGGGTGTTCAAACATATGTTTAAAGTCTAAAGACATCCATCTTTGCCTTCATTCTTAATCCTGATGAAGGATTGGAAAGCTCATGGCACTTTGATGGGGGACAAGGTGAGGAAGTACGACCCGGCGATCCCTCCCTCGGACGACAAGATCGACCTCAGCAACTTTCCCTTGAAACTTGCCAAACTTCAGGAGGATGTCTCAAAACGAGGCTGGTCGAGATTCACGATTTCTTTGAGCAATGAAATTCGAGCTCTTCATCTTGCTGATGTGGTTCATGGGCCTTCTTGGAAGGCTTTGATTGCAGACTTCGACCGAAAGTCGCATGGTTGAGAAGTTAGGTGGCTGCTTTCTAGTATGCGTCACTCAATATGAGTCATATGAGTCCATCTTTCCTTGTTTTGGTTGGCATCTAACCCTGGTTTTGGTTTGATGTGCTTCACAACAGGTTCTGCGGAAGCATGTCCAGCCCTATTGCTGAAGAGACAGCAATTGTGCCTGCCGAAGAGCAGGAAGAAGAGCATGTTTCATTCTGGGCCTCAGAGCCCAAAAGCTATGAAGAGTTGATGGACAAGTACATCTTGGAGGCCAAGTGTCCTGGTCGAAGCCCAGGAACAACCTTGTTGTTGGTTGGGGTCCAGCAACGCGATGGGTCAACTACAGAGGTCTTGCCGAACCAAAAGCACAAGCTCTTCATTGTGTCTGGTTTGCATGAAATAGTATTTTGCTCTTATGTAGCTGGTCATGGTTGGGCCCTCAACTCTCCGAAACACTAAACTCCCCGAAGCCTTTGTCTATAAATAACCTGCTCTGTACCTGTCCTACACAACTTTGAACTTTGAACGCTGCTTTTCCCAAGGGCCCCGCTGTGGCAATCCAAGGTATGCCACCAAGAAATGGAGCTGCCTGTGAATGAGTTTCAGATTGCCCATGGGAAGTCGACGTTTCTCAAAGATGAAAAGATCGCCAAGCTTCAACGGGAATCCACTGGTCAAGGCAGGAACAGAACACACTTTCTTGAAAGTGGTCATTGTTTCACTGAAGTTGGTAAACAAAGCTGAATGATGCAACAAATGATTGTTGTGGTTCTTAGATCTCTCCTTGTTGCCCATGCGCCTTGGGTTGCAACCTTCTCGCTCTTCACCTCAGCCAGTTGCGATCTCACACATCTTGAAGGTTAGGTATCCTGAGTCCCTTGAGCTTCGATATTCAACCATGGCCAGCCTGAGTGAAGTTCTGGCTCAGCATGGTTTCAAGCAGGACCTTGTTTTGAAATGTGTTGAGACATTGTATTTTGGTTTGGGGACCCTTGAAAACGTGCAGCAGAAACTCCACAAAGACTCAACAATTTTCAGGACTTGAACGCTCTATACAAGGAAGATCCTGGCACCACTGAAACTCCTACACCAAGAGCAGCCTCTTGCCCAAGAAAAACACACTGTTGCCAAGGGCGGTCTTTTAAGGTCAAAGGTGGTAAATGTTGGAAAGAACAGGTTCCTATTGTTGACCTGGGGATGCTCACATGCTTGAACTTAGTCCTTTTCAGCTGAATCCTCTAACCTCTAAGGTTTTACAACGCTCTATTATGTCCGCTTCCAAGACATGTAAGGTTGGGCAAAGCCCTCTTGGGGGCCAGGAAAGTGAACCAAAGAAGGCCCGTCCTACTTTGCCATCGCAGAGTTCAAGACCTGGTCAGGGCTCAACGCAGATGTCCCTGAGCCCAGAGCAAATCGCTGAGTTGAAGAACGATGTCGCACAAGCCTCGATGGATGCTGGGAAGAAATCGAAAACCAACAAATTGGTTCAGGCTGAGCGAAAGAAACAAGAGGCTGAAGGTAAGAGTGGTTCCAACACTGGAAATGGTGAGGAGCCTGCAAAGAAGAGGTCCTTCTCACATGTTCGTGCTGCCATTGATCGAGCTGCTTGTGAGTCTGGTGAAACCCAAAAAAAGAAGCCCAAGAAAGCCACACCAAAGGCCGCTTTCAAACATGTGCAATCTTTTTTGTGTATTGAATATTGCACACACACACACACCTTGTGTTTTTCCCTTTTGCCCTCTCTCTTGCAGGCTCTCTCTCTCTCTCTCTATTGCGCTTCCATTGGTCAGGCTAAGCCGGCTTCAAAGAAGAGGGCCAAGCCAGCAGCTAAGGCAGGAGCAAAGTCAGCAGCAAAGGGCAAGAGCAAGCCAAAGAGGGCCAATCGATCCAATGCCAAGGCCTGCGAACATGTTCATGTCACTGACAAATAAAGCTTTGATTTGACCACTGTTGACATCACAGAGTATCCTGGCTAGTTGCAATCCAATCAGTCAAGAGGTCTTTGCTATTGGGAGGGTCAATGCATAAGATCACCTTCCTACATCTTCTTTCGATCACAAACCTGTGTGACTCCATTAGTTTATAGCTCAATGCAACGCAACAACTATATCCTATGTACCTTGTTGTTAATCTATCGTTGTTGCTGTGGTCGTTCAAGAGCAGGAAGACTTCGAAGAAGAGGCTGAAGAGCAGAAGGACATGATGGAGGAAGCTGAGGCTGAGGAAGATCTTGAGGAAGATCTTGAGGAAGATCTTGAGGAAGATGTTGAGGAAGCCTCTCCTCACTCCGAGCTCTCGGCTAAGACCATGCGTCTTGGGGAATCGCCAAAGGGGAAGCGCACAAAGGGGAATCGCCAAAGGGGAAGCTCTCCAGTGGCTTCGACTGCTCCTAACCTCCGAGCTTTGTACTGGCAAGTTGTCCATGAAGCTCAGAAGAGCATCAAAAAGCAGAACCCAGATATGCGCCCCAAAGAAGTCTTGGCTTTGGCTCGTGCTGAGTGTCTCGTATGCAGCTCATACAACAAAGTCTTGTGTTTGAACCTTGGTTGTGTCACCATATGTTTTGGAAACCTTGCCACAAGCTCTTCTCAGGTGGGAGAAGCACCCTGAGCGCATCAACGCGATGCAAAACATGAACAAGAATGAGCTATCGCGACGGCGAATGACTCCGACTGGTGAGCGCAAGCCACGCCAGTCCAAGCCCGGCAAGAAGTCTGGAGCTGGTGACCAGTAGGGTCAAGTGACAAGCATTATATGTCTTTGGCAATTGTTCTAAACATAAAGTGGGCTCAACATGGTTTGTCACAAGACCCACCTGTTTTCAGGGGAACTTAGATAGCCAATAGGCAGCAAGGTTGGTGACACAGGATTGGGGTGTCCATACGCTTGGGGAAGAAAAATTGGAACTTGCAAAGCTTATTTTGTGAACTGTATGCCAACTGAGTCAGCAGTTGTTCAGCATTAGGTGCAATAGGGTTTCCCTTTACTTGGATTGTTCTTTGGCTGGTCAGGGGACGCTTGGGCCTTCACTATTCCATGCCGCTGGACATCAGATTGCCAAAAGGTAGTATTGGAAGTGCCAAGCGAATCATCCAAAGCATCCTCAGATGCTGATCCTTGCACAATACGGAGTTTACTCCATGAGATGGAAGAGGAGGGTGTGGTTGACATTGCTCTCCATCGCCACAAGTGTGAGAGACCAGGTGCAGCTGACAGCGATGCTGGACACTTGTCAAAAACGAGCCTTTTAGTCCACTATCCATGACCTCTTAATTGCAGAACTCCACACAAACAAAAGAAAATCACAAACAAAAAAAGTGCCGAGAAAGAAATCTAGAGGGCCTTGAACAAACATCAAATGTGAGTCCGTTGCCTAGATCATGACTTCTTCATCATCAAGCCAGAGAATGCCCACCCAGTTTTCTCCTATTCTCCAAGCCTCGACGGTCTCAAGTACACGACCATGGCAGGGGTATTTCCAGCGGAGGCCAGGTTGAAGAAAATGCTCTAATGTGGTTCCTCAAGTGTGTGTGTGTGTGTGTGTTGTTTTGTGGTTCAAAGAGTTGTGGCTATGATGGTTGTTTTGTCCTTGATCTCCAGATCCTGAGTGCCAGCAGACCGCTGATTCGCTATTGGAGGGTCAGCTTCATGAAGGCAGAAAAGGACCTCTTCAGATTAGTGATGGGTGAAAAACAGTCATGTTTAAAATGTGAACTCGACCATGCCACTTCCTAAAGCAGGAGCTTATGCCAAGCAACTGGGAGGCGTAAGTATTTGGAATGTATCTAACTATTGTTAATGGAGCTGTGCTCATTGCTTGTCATGTGTGTTTTCTTGTGTGTTCCTGCCCTTGGTTCCAATGTGTCCCAATCAAATCTCAGGAAAACCGCTATACTTTCTCCGACAGCCATTGACCATGAAGGCGAACGAGGTAGTACGACTCATTTAGTGGAATCATGCTGACATAGTTTGGGGTTGTTCTCAACACTCAAAGGAGTGTGATGGGGTGATGCCAGCTTGCACCTACCAAGAGCTTGATAGTAACAAGCAAGTACAATGTGCTTGATAGCTAGCACCTTATGTTTTCATGCTTTGTGTGTCACTCTTGGAAAAGGGTGGTGTGCTGATCTGGGATCATGGACAAAGACATGATGCTTTGCTGCGAGCGAAAATGAACAAAGTCTGGCTCCAGGGATATGTCTCTCAGGATCTCGTGGGGTTTGTCTCCAGGATTCTTCAAAATCCAACTTCAAAACACCTTAAGATGTGGATCGATTAAAATGAAATCTGGATCGATTGCAGTGAAACCTACATATATATAGTATACAGTATACTTGTATATATACGTTGGATATTCCAAATATTCCTAAATGACTCATGTCTCTGTTTTTTGCAGGATTCGCTTCAAATGCGAATCCGACCACCAGTGTTGGTCTCTATCCTTTGCCACCGAGCCTTCAGTGCTCACTACTGAGCCACATCGTTCTTCCGCTCTCTTCCGCCCAGGCACGCCCATGGGGTCATCTTCCACCGAGTCCTCCGGAGAAAGCGCGTGGCTTTCAGACTTGTGTGGATTTTGTGATGTTCATCGTTTGCTTGTGCTGGGGGCATGATCCAAGGTGAAGATGACACCAATGGAAAAACAGATTGGTCCACCATGGTCGTATCATCTTCAACTCCGTCTTTGGATCCACTAGGGTCGCGTTCCTGGCTCAGGCCACCCCACCGATTCTTTCCATCGTCAGAACTCCTAACCCACGACCCACATCCGCGAGGTTCGCGGTCCTCCTCCACAGCGTCCACGTCCACCCAAATCCTTTTCCACCAAGTCCCACTGGTCGTCACACGCGCCAGCTGCTCACAGGCACCCTCGTAGCTGCGGTCCTCGCAGCCCAAAATGGCGGAACACCAGGAAATCGAGCTTTTTGGGGCAGAGAAAAGCGAAGCCTTCTCAGAGCGATCTGGCCCAAAGGCGTCCTGCTTGGCAAAGTTCTGCATCGCGTCCATCTTTTTGGAAGAGAAGTCCTGCGAGCTGGCCATATTATTTCAACAAGAAGCCAACGACCAACTGCACCAGAAACCGGCTTGGCCAGCAGTGTTCTCCACGTTGGCCAAAAAGTAAATCATACCAGCACCATCCAACTCGTGTTTCCTCCCCCAAAAAACCACCCGTTAGCATCCCTTAGACCAAACACCACCTTTTTGGAGGGTTGCAAACTGACATGATAAACGGCGCCTCCACCGATCGGGAACTGAACTCTTCACATTCGGGACCTCAAAAAGGTACACATTCCGGCCGTTCGCGGTTTTCGCAACATTCATTCTGGCCGCAAAAAGAAACACCATATATTAAGAGTAGCAAATACATGGAGCAATTCCCTTTTGGAGTTATCCTTTAGCATTGAAGACCCCGATCCCCGACCCACTCCCCCCAGCCAGCCCGAAACTCAGACTGCATGATGCTGGGCAAGGTGAGCAAAAAGAGCACCGGGAAGCAGGCCTTAGATCTTGAAGGTGCAAAGCCTTCAGAATCCTGAGGATGACACTCCAGTTATTTCCACACTGGAATTTTGGGGTGTGAAGCTGTAGAACTTGTGCTGACTTGGACTCGATCCCGAGAATAAGCGTCTTAGAATCCCTATGGGACCTCTAAAAGTCTCGGATGTGCCTCTAAAAAGTCCAGACTCTCGTTCTCTTCCAGTCCGGTTTGTGATGCCCCGCCGCCGTCACGAAACGACCAAAGGGGCGAGGTAGCGCAAGGACTCGAGGAGGCTCAGTACGAGGGAAGTGGCTTGTTGAAGTGGAGTCGCCGATGGAAGCCTGCGGGCGCTCGCGCCCCAGCGAGGGCTGGACAAACCACCGGCCCAAAGGTGTACCCTTTAAAGTGGCGAATGAGAAGTTCCGACATCCCAGAAAGAGTCGATTCCAGTTTCTATCTTGTGAAAGAGTTTTGGGAAGGTCATTCTGTTTTGGCCAGTAGGAAGCCGCTCATGTGCACAGCATTCACAGTGTGCGCTCGAACAAGTAGGAAGCGTCTGAGGAACTGCTCTAGAGGAAACAACAAGCCAGTGACAGGGGGATGACACGGGATCACCCCAAAACGTTAGAAACTCTCCCACTGTCCAGGCGCCATGTCTGCTGAATGGGCCATCGGCGAAATCCGTGTTGAATGAGAAGAAGCACGATTTTTCGCCCTCTGGCACGACCGGGTGACCTCTACCCTTTACAGACCATACCTTGGTGATCCCTGGTGGGTTTGCATTGACCATACACTTCACTGATCTGCAATTTGAGCGTTTTGGATTGCCCGTTGTGTTGATTTGTTTCGAGATGAAGAGAGTCTGGTTGCACAGTAGTTTCTCAAAGGAATATCGTCTTTATCTCACGTTAATCAGTTAATCAATCTAGTTCTCAACCTTCGGTCTCTTCCTCCCAGTCTTGTGACACGGCAGTGTTGAGCAGTTGGGAGTTCAGCAAGTCGTCCGTGTAGATTGTGAGACAGAAAAGGTAGAAGCAGACCACTAGAGTCACTAGAGCCAAGAGCCATGAGGCCCTTCGACTTGTAAAGGAGGAATGGTCAAAACTTTATAACTGTCCCCTCCAGTCCAGGACATGGGATGATTGATGAGTAGCAGCTTGGTCAGTGTTCCCATGTCCATCCTGAAGTATTGTAAGAAGATGTGTCATCTGAGACGATCACCCCATGGTCTTTCACCTCAACCGCGTCCACGAAACATCTCAAGCATTCTCAACCACACCTTCGGTTGCAGGTATAGAGCAGCAAGAGCCCCACCAAGTACAGGCAGGTCGTTGTTCCCTGGCAGACCCAGGACGATGGAGGGGCACCTTTGGAAGCCAACAAGTGGGTCACCAGTGAACAAGTTGCTTTACAGAATGCCCAGGTGAAAACCTAATATATATATATATACACCGTATATATATATATATATTGTATATGATGAATATACAGCATATATGGCTTGTGGGTCAAAACCTGCCTCACCAAACCATGGTAGGTTGACACCCCTTTTTTTAATCTATTTTCAGGGGTCAACCAAGGTGCCTGGGTTTTGACCCACAGCCATGTACAATAGCCACCTTAGCCGATGGTTCGAATCTCAAGTATTCGGCAGCTGTTCTCTTGCAAGCAAGTACGTTTCCTGTTTTCTGTCTGCGCTTGGTGTTATGGATGTGACCCTTGTTCTTCCGTGCGTGACATCCAAGCGTTCGCTTCTCCACTCAGGAAACATTCCTTTCACATCGTTCGACCATCTTTTTGGACCATGGCCTACTTGGAATGGTTCCACTGGACTCCTGGACAGTAGAAAAGTACCCCAAGTTGCCCCCAGGTCCATCTTTTCTTCCGCGTCCGACACTTCACCCTTCCTTCCCGTCCTGGATCGGCAAGCGCAGCAGAAGCGTGATCAGCACAGAGAGGCTCAAGCGGCCCACCTGCGCGCGGGAGAGGTTCACGGCATTGGTTTGGGAGTTGGATTCCAAATTCGGTGGATCTGAGTGGCCCAAAGTGACCCCTTGCCTTGCAAGATGGATGATGGGTGCTCTATTGCAGAGGTCCCGAACTGGGGATGGAAAAAAAAACAAGGCATGCCTGATGTCCGCAGTGGTGGAAGGAAACAAGAGCAAACCTGGCGCCCCCAGCTTGCGTCCTGAGTTTGCAACTAATTACGGTAGGAATGATGTCCTATGCCTATACTTCTGAAAGGGCCCTGTGAGGGGATCACGTTTCACAGGGAGTTTCCGAGTAACCAGCTGATAGCAGGTACTAACCACACCATACCACACCTACACTCGAAACATACTGCCCGGAAGAAGAATCGAAGCTGGAGCTCAAGCACGACCTTTGGAACACTCTCAGTACCTTGAAACATAGCACCACCTCTGGTACCTCAACCCACCCCACCTTCGAGTCCTTCGAAAACTCCTCCCCTATCCCACTCCTCCTCACTCGTCGCGCGCTTCGCGAGCGACGAGAACGGATCGAAGTGACCGAAGTGGACCGCGGTGGACCGCATCCGTGTCGGCATCATGCCGTGTCGCCTTCTGGTAGAACGCTCGCACTGGCCACGTCTCCTTTCCTTTCCACTTCTCTTGGCCATAAAGAAGAACACAGGCCAGCAAAGCACCAGGCAGCAGAATCCCAGACCTCATCAAAACATCAGAGAGCAGCAAGGTTGCAGCAAGCGTCCATAACTACAGATGGCGCCCACGGGACCATGTCGCATCCATCTTGAACCACCTCTTGAGATCTCTGAAGGATTGTACCACACCTCCACTGAACATCTCCACTTCCTTTCCCAGATTCATCGCCACAGGCGGCTCTCCCGGCCTTGTCGCCAAGCCAGCAACAGCCAGTGGCACTAGAAGGCCGAAGGACCTTTTGCCACAGGAGCCCGCTTGCGCAATCGCACCTGAAGGCGGCCGCGTCGAGGGGGACGGCGAGTTTCGTGCTGTTCAGTCCGGCGAGTTTCGTTCGGCGCACCCATCACCTGAGAGCGCATTGCGTGAGCGAGCGCAGTTGAGCTTTGATTATGTCACGTGATGGAATATGTGACCATGAGATATGTAACATCAACCTCTGAAGGCGTTTTCCGAAAGCATGTTCCAACAATTCCACAGTCAAATCATAATCCAAAAAAAAAACTGAACGAAAGGAAACAAGTGTGGCCCATCAACGTCTGAAAAGAACTGAAGAAGAACCAAGGATTAAAACTGAAGAAGACATCGACATCAAGACAAACGTCGATTGCCTTGAGGAACCAACTGTATGTGGCACACTCTAAGCCCAAAAGAAGAGGCCAGCTATGGCTCAATCATGTTTTGACACCACCGGACCCATCTGGCAAAATCTCGGGTTGCGTAGGAATCTATGTTGCCCTGTAGGAGGTCTACTTTCGAGCCACACCCAACTCCATGTTACCCAGGTCCAATCTCTGTTCCGCTGTGGGCACCATAGGTCCATGCAGTGAGGCAGAACTGGAGAACCTGGGCGAGGCAAATCCAGGACAAATCTTACTAGTAGCGTCCGATCGCTCTTAGTAGCGATGCCAGGAGCCCCTAGTAGCTTCTTGCTACTAGTAGTACGGCCAGGAGCTACGTTCGTAGCGTCCGATCGTTCCTAGTAGTAAGCAGCTCCAAAGACCCTGTGACCTTCTGTTGAAACTCCGCAGCGCCTGAGATGTGGAAGCATATGCAGGATTCTGGATAAAGCTGCTAGACGAGTTTTGAAGACCCAAGGACCGAATCTTCGATTCCGCTTTTGTCTTGGGGCCCACTAGGGTCCATCAGGAATCTGCTCAGGCAATTGGGACAGAGAGATGAGACACGCACACTAGGCTCGGAACACCACATGGGGGCAACCCGGGATTCCTTTTTCCAAGAAACTGGAAAACTGCTTGGGAACCGCTCTTTCCCCTCTCACCAGAATATCATTAGAGGGAGTCTGTTTGGGAAACTGGCCACGCCCGGATTCGGCTCCAATACTTGACATTTGAGGCAGTCCCCATAAAAGAAACGCCAAGATTGCCTTGGGTCACCTCTGTGCATCTGCCTTGGATCTGATCTGCCATCATCCCAAGCCCATGGCCATATCCAGGAACCCTGGACTCACACCAAACGGCTTCATAGCCAAAGCACGCTCTCTTTGCCCAAGCTTAAGAGGGCCCAAGCAAGCGTCGTGACCTTTGGCTCCAAAAGGGCCTATCAGCAAAACGGGCACCGCACGGCATTCATTGATCACCCACAGTCAAGGCCAAAAGTCAATTCGTTTTAGGGCGATGAACGATTGATCTGGGATTCGGAGGACACAGGCTGAGCTTCAGGAACCGTTCCAAACAAATCCATGGCAGCACCAATGGGGCTACTGTACGTCTTAAGGCTGTCAGGTGGGCTCGGACGGAACGACAGCCTCGGTCCCAAGGAGCACCGAGGGTCCAACTTCAGCTTGAATGGACGCGGAGACCCGCGGAGACCCGTGGATAAAAGTACGTGGATGACAATGGATTGGTCGCAACGCGAAGGCCCAGTCGCTGCTTGACCAAGACCTAAAGTCATTGATGGATCTCTCTTCATCTCTCTTTCCAAGCAATGCACCACTTGCACTATATAGTCAGATCCAGTCTTGAGAGAAGTCACACCAGACCCAAAACTCAGCCCCACAGAAAGAAGCGAAAAGTTACATGAATCGATCAAATGAACCCAGTGGGCCTCCTTGGCGAGACCAACCTCGTCGTGAAGCATACAGGCATACCCAGCCCGATGCACTCAAAAGCGGCACCGAGGCTTCAACCCCGACCCCGCCTGACACAAATGGTAGATGGTGCGTGGCTGGACGCCGCAAACGACCAGTAGCACAGGCCTAAAGCTGCCGTCCGAGAGCGCACAGGCGGGCGACAGCCACATGCGTCCGAACACCGCGGGTCAACATGAGGGCAGAAGCAGAGGGCCTTTCCAAGATGTCTGAGAAACTCAAATCACTCAAATCACCAGTAACAAAGGGCATCGCTACGAACGGAGCGATCGGACGCTACTACTAGCTCCTGGCACTACTACTAGGAACAAGAAGCTACTAGTAACTGAAATTACTTTTCCCGGACATTCGCCCACATCCACAGTTCACCCGGAAGACTTCGACCATCGATGTCCTCGGCGGCACCGACGACCGAGACCGGTTTGTCTGAGATCCCGGGCTTCGTGATGCGCCAGTACCATGACACCTGTCACCACGAGTGGAATATCTCTGCTCTGGAGTAATGGATGAAGAAATAGGACAACTCAAGGACCAAATGGGAAATGGAACACTTCAAGCATACAAGTGCAGATATGCAGGGGTACCAGAGACCTCTTTGTATGTGATTGGTTTGAAGTGTTCTGTGTTCTACTTCACGATAGTTGTAGACCCTAGCCAGCTGCCACTGGGATAGGTGGGGAGGGCAAATCACAATCTTGGGCCTGCAGTCATCGATCTTCAGAAGCCTATATAGATCCACAGAGGGCCAAAGAGGCAGGTACTTAAGAGGATACCAGCCCCTCAATAGCCAAGAGGCACTGAGAAGTCAGCCTTGCCAGACCCAAATGCCACACCAGCCTCTCTCAGTCCCAAACTCCTCTCAGTCCCAAACTCCGCTAGTTCGCCCAGGCCTGTTTGAGATCCTTGCGACCTTGCTCCACCAGCTGCTGCGCCTCCAAGCGTGCTTCCTTCACTCGTAGCTCCTGGCGTCTGTGCGGTGCACATCCAGCTGAGAGCACTCCAAGTGTTCTGCAGTGCGGATACCAGGTTACAACATAAACGTATATATATATATATATAGATAACATCTGATATCAATAGCAGTTGCGATTCAAAAAAAAAAATGCAAAAGCTGAAATCTGTGGTTTGGACCATCCTCACCTGCCGTGGACATTAGGATTGGGAAATGAACATCCATTGAATCGAGCGGTTCTCATGTGCAAGATTCGTTTCGAAACTGGCTGCTTGTAAGGCATTGCCAACCATCTAATAGAAACCGGTTTGAATCTGCTAGGTTTACCGAGAATCTCCGCCTGAGGAAATGTTTGAAAAGGTTCGGCTCGTGCGACCGGCAGGGCCCAGCCGACGGCCACTGACGAAGAAAACGCACCGACCGACGCAGGTTCGACGGCCTTGCTAGCTACGAGGTCGGCTCGATTCTTAGAACCCCAAATGACGAGGTGAGCTGCCTGCACCAGGCTCTTCTGAACTTTGCCTGCCAACCAACGGCACAGCAAACGGGTCATGGTCCCCATGGAACAAACGGCTCTTCAGCTCAACTAGCAGTGACTGGCATCGAACAGGCAGTTCAATGCACCGAAAATGTCATCAAGCAGTCGTACATCCGGCCCCACAGTCGAGACTGTTGGGCTTCGTAGGCACGTGGCAGAGGGGCACGTGCCCGGTGCATGGGACGGGTAGAAAGCCAAAGCAGGTCGTCCAATGTGTCAGGTCGAACTGCTGGGCGCAGCCCGTCGAAGGGTGTCTAAGGGCCTCGAGGGCTTCAAGAACCATGGAGAAGCCTTCCCATCAGAACCCCCGCCTGTGCTCTCGTTCCTGGGCATCTTGCATGTGTACCTGGAAAGAAGAAGTGCCCAGCACACAGCGGGTCTGGAGATCGGTGTACAGTTTGCACTTCGCTTGGAGCTCTGTCCGCCCCAGCGATCCCCAGACGGTGTCGGCTGGTCTGGGCGCTTGAATGGCAAATGAAAAAATGATGAACAAAATTAAAAGCACTTCAGTAACTCAAGTTACCCACATCATTCCACAGGAGTTCCAATATTCTCTTCTTCCATAGAAGAAACATTGAATCTTTGTCATGGGGCAAGATGGGCATCCGCAGGAAGCTGGCATCTTGAAGGCTCTTCCGCAAGCCCTGCGGATTCCCCGGCTGCAACTCCTCAGCTCGTCCCCACGGCCCCCCGTGTCTCCCGACGCGTGCGCGAAGTCAGGAAAATCCAACGGGCACTTCCATCTTCCGAGTTGGTCTTTGGCTCCAAAAGCCGATCCCACCATGTCCCGCCCACCCACATCCGTCCCCAAAGCTCACCCCCGTCCAACCCCCCTAAGGACCTTCAGCACAATAAAAGCCACGAAGACCTTCCCCGCCAACCCCACCCCAAACACCCACCAGTGTTGGGCTTTCACCAAGGCGCCAGCACCACGGAGGCACCACCCTCCACGTGCAGTGGCTCTGTGATGCAACAGGCGCTCACCGCCCCCGCCGTCAGCTGCAACTGACGGCGGTCACTGGTGACGGAAAGGAGTGAGAGGGTTCAGTGACAGCGTACCACACTGGTGGTGTGGAGGGAAGGGAGCATGATTGTTCTTTATTGTAAGCTACCATGGTGTTTGGTGAATCAGAAATACTTGGATGATACCATCATCACCCACACAACACGGTCACACCAACACAGGCTTAAGCCATGGCCAAACATCTTGCAATCCTTTGTCCTGGTTGTACTTGGGACACGTTGCATCGTTGGCCATCCCAGGTCCATCCAGGTCCCCGTCCTCCGGCAGACCGCGCCTCCGCCACGTTGGTGGCCATCAAAACACCGCCTCGCACCTTCACGGTGCCGCCACCTGGCGGTTCCGGGGTTACGGGGGTTGGTTTTGGGAAGCCACTGATCTGTGGTGTTTTCTGTACAAAGCAGTAGATCTGTACTATCTGAGATCAAAGGCCTGTTTGCTTGAGCCACTGGATTTGGAGATTTGGGCCACCTACTTGGAAAAGCAAACCTCTAAAATTAGCTGCTCAAAATGTCTGATTGCTCACACAGTGCCTCGCCCAATGGAGACGATGCTATTGTCCGGTCGCATCTTGATGATGTCTTTGGGCACCAAGACCTTTGGGTCGCTGATCGGAGCACAAGGGGCTGATCTCACGAAGGGCCCATTCGCTCACGACCCTTCCTCTAAGGGCGCGCCAAAGGGTACGAGGGTACGATGGAGGTTTAGAAGGTCCTGGTCCGTCGGTGTTGCTGCGGACACCCTACGGACGCAAAATGGTATATGAACGTGTCGAGTCAAGAATGCGACCACAAGATGCCCAGCTGGACCAAGAGCATCTCTGATGTAACTCTAGTTGGGTTTACTTGATGTCCTCCTCTCCAGTCCTCGGACCTACTCCCCGCGCGTTTGGAGCACTTGTTTGGGCGAAATGGCAATTTGGAGAACTTACCACGGCTCATTTTTTCCACCACACCAATCTCGTCAATCAGTGGTTGGGAATATCTGGGAATACCACCCAATGTCCACTCCAAATCGCCACCAAGCGACCCACTCGCCATCAATCACCTCCAGAAGAAAGTGAGCGGGGGTGTTTCCCACGATCGCAAACCTTGGGTCATCCCCCATCTTTCATGAATTTGTTCACTCTTACATTGTCCATCTCTTATTTTTACTGATGTTCCATGATTGTTTACTTTGCATTATTTATTGTCTGTCTGTAGGTTTAATATGCTTGAAGGAACACCCATTGGATAGAATATTTTAAATCTATGGTTTTCATTATAATGCATTTTACAAATAACCAATAAGTTTAAAGGCTATGAATTTTCCTGTCCACTTTCTACCCCATATGATATGTCAATAAGAAGGTTTTAACCGGAATAAATCATTCCCTCCATTTTTGTCTTCGAGGACTTGTCAATCCATACTATATTGTTCCGTTTATTTGTCTTTTCTAATCATATCCTTATCATGTGCTATTTTTCATGCAATGTTTTTAGTTTTTTCCTTTCACTTTACCATAGTTTTATTAAGTATTCAGAAAATCCTATTTGATTCATTCATATTTGGATAACATATTGTCTTCTATGCCAGCAGTTCCATGGAGTTTGGTGCACACCACTTGGAGGAAGTCGGGGTGCCGACCACCCAACGACATGGAACTCCTCGTGAGTTGACTGTTTATACAAATCAAAACCCTATCTATCTTCACTTCACAAATCCTCTTGTCATCGGCAAAGTGTCACCATCCATGGTTTCCTGAGCTTGGGGGGAATTTCGCCTTTAAACTAGGGCGTTCCCGTTCCTTGGAATTCGATCAGCGAAACCCTGTTCTTCCCACCCAGGCTTGAAGAAGACCCTGCTTTGCCTTCCACCTCGAAAAGGCCGCTCCTCAACGGCCTTTCTTCATAACTTCACCCTAGAAGTCCAGTTCGACTATAATTTGGCCGACTGAAGTAAAGGAAATTCCTTTTTCGATTTCACCACCTGTCCCTTTTCGAAAATAAAAAACGGAGACTCTTCGGTGCCGGAGGGGGTGAACCACACCTCTTCCAGACCACTTGGGGTCTCAAAAAGTCAGACCTCGGCTCTGGCATCTCCACCGTCCGAGACTCGGTGTGGAGGGTTGGTTCACCACCATCCTCTTCCCCCCCCCCCGGCCGTGCAGCAGGTGTTCTGCGCCGCCTTGAACATGTCTTGGCTCAAGGGTCCGGCACCGATCAGCGCTGGGCCATCCGGGGCAAGTCCTGGGAGGCGGGTCGTCTCGTCTCGCGGAACGAACGACCCGAACGCGGAACGCGGAACGCGTTGGACGAAGGAAGAGGTGTGGCGGATCCAGGTCACCGAGAGTTTGGGCGTTCTTGTTTGGACCTGCTTCGAAACGAAAGTCACCTCAGTTCTGGGAACTAATGTTGTGTGATTAGGAAACCCACTACCCTATACTACCCCATCTCTGCCACTGGACCCAGGGCTTTTGAGCAGTTCAAGTTGAAGATTGCATATGTTGAAATTATGGAACTGGGCATGCACTCTTTTCCACACAAGACACTAAATCCACAAATCAGGTGTGATCCAAAGCGAGTATGCCTTCACATGATGCATCAAATGACTCCCTTAACCAAATCCGGCGCAATCTTCTTGACCAGCCCCCAGTACTGTGGCCCTGACGTTCCACATAGCCAGGTGTCACCTGCACAAGCAGTTCCAAGCATGACTTTATTGGACTTGAAAGTCTCTCAAGGCTCCGAAAGCTTTGAAACACAAACTTCATCAAAATTCTACGGTATTTCATTTCTCTTAAACTAGATTGGTGGCTCACTCCTCTCACTCCCCCCATGATCATGCGTGCGTGTCGACCTCGCACCTGTGGCCCTGCGACGCCCAAGAGGCCGGTGATCTCGTCCATGGACTTGGGACAGGGTTGCAAGCTGTCATCCAAGATGAAGACCTGTCCAATCGAAGGAACTACTAGCAGCGGTGCATCGCTACGCTCGTCGCTAGAAGCTACTAGTAACAAGAAGCTCAACTCTGGTTGCCCCTTTTTCTCGGTGAAGCGACCGCAGCTGACCCGCAGCTGACCCCGGTTTCTCGCGATGAACGACCGCTCGGCGACGGCGTTCGGAGACAAGGAAGGGTTGCTCAGCCGATGTTCCTCTCTTTCTTGGAAGGTTGGGAGAGTCTGGTCAAGTGAGCATCTGTTCTGCGGTGAGACCGTAAGACCAGGGGAAGAGCTGGTGGGCTGGGGGGGGTGACAAGCTGTTGGGGTGTTGGCTGTTGAGGGTGTGGCCCACTTGTCATTGAGAAAGGCATTTTTTCTAGCCTTGTGTGGAGCGGAGCGATTGAAGACTTGATATCTATGACTTCCCCTGCCTCTATCACAACAACTTGAATACTTTTTCTTGAACTTCGGCCAACTGCGTCACTGGTGGCTCCATCTTTGAGACAGCCTCTCCCCTCTGTACATATTCCACTATCAAAGACTACCAATACAATGGACTTTTAAAAAATTGTGGAAACGTCCAAAAATCTGCTGCAGCTCCCCAAGGCCTCAGCTGCGCAGCTCTTCGGAGGTCGCCTCCACGTCCGCCGTTTCCGCCCTGTCCGAGACCTGGGGTGTACCCGTTTCCTCGGTGCTTTCCCCAAGCCGCTTCGTTCGCACGCGGCCACGCGGGGTCAGGTGGTCATGTAGCCACATCAGCATGTAAAGCAAAGCAGGGATGGGGAAAAAGAGAATGTTGCTCTTCATCCCCTGTTGATGATGCACCTGCCAAACGGCAAGTGTGCCGAGGCAAGCTCCACCCAAAGCTCCAGCTATCACTGCCAAGCTCATCAGGAACTTTTGCATGTCTTCCCTGAGCAAGGTATGCTCCCAAAGCAACTTGGCCAGCAATTGAGCCAGAGTGAGTGTATGCCCAGCGACCATGGTCGTTCGGACACCCATGCGACCAATGCTACAGGCAGCTGCAATCACACCGGAAAAGGCGGCTAGAGGGACCAGAGTCCAGCGCAGGCAGCTCATCTCATCACAGCCAATGATAACATACATCACCTCATAGCTGGACAACGATCGAAAGGGCAATTTCTTTCGCACGAAAAGCATGCTTTTCTTCACAGCGCGATCCACAACAACTTAGAGGGTTCAGGTATTTATGTAATTACATAACAAATCTAACGCAACAACATGGGACTGGTCGAAAGATCTTCACAACAAACTACAGTATTTAAACGCCCCCCCATCTCGCCTCGGTGCACATCAACATGGCTGCCAGGGGAAGCGCCGCCACACTGCCTCCCCGCTGGGGCCAACGGAGGTCACAGCACCACTGTGCGAAGGCACCCAACGCGTAGGATCCCCAGAGCGCCACATAGAAGAAGGGGCTTTGCAATGGCAGACCGAGGACCGTGTCGTCCGAGGAAGACATGGGGCGCATGGCCACACATCCAAGGAAGACAGCATTCCCAGTGATCAGGTGCGTGAAAGCCTGATAGCGAAGCAGGCTCACAACATCAACATAGCCAAAGACCAGTGCAAGCAAACTGGCGATCCACAGGTTGACCTGAAACCGCCATTGGCTTGACACCATTCAGTCCTGCACCCTTCAGTCCTTCGTCACGGCGATGTCATGTCCGCCGCCCAAATGGCTTGAGCCCAATGAATGAAGCAGGTACTTGGAAGGATCTTTGGAGACCTACTGCAATCTCACTCAGAAATCAGTATATTTTATAATATAGGTAGTTTCCTGCCAAGTTGTTTGAATATATGATGATATATGAGATCTCTTTACAAAGTGCTCAACCCCCTCCCAGCCACACGGAAATGCGTTTCCGGAAAGCACGGAGCCTTGGCGCCGCCCAAGGGCCGCATGGCATGAGCCTGACGCCCGTCGCAGGAGGCCACCTCCAGACCACAACTCGCAAAGGTCAAGAAGTACTCCTGCGAGTGGCTGGCGGAGCGGTCTGGGGACGGGTGACGCAGGGTCTGGGGACGGTGCGTACGCGCCAGGGGAGGTGACACTGCGAGTTGGGGACGGGGGTTGGGGTCCTCAAAAGGTGCACCCGACGGTGTTGCTTGTTGTCTTTTCGATTCGGGCTAGAAGTCTGACAGCCAAGTCAGCCCTGGAAAAGCCACATGGGAACCACTCTCGGCCAGTCAGGTCGGCAGTTGGACTGAGTGGGGGGCGGTCATTCAGATCACATATTAAGAAAAGATGAGGCTTAACTTAAATCACGAGGCAAGTTCGTGATGTGTCAAAACCACAAAGAATAAAAAGCACGATATCATCAGGGGTCCTCAACAGTATATCATCACGCCAAGGAATTCCAAGTCTCCCATCTCCTCTGCCTTCCCCCAAAAAGCTGGTCACTCACATGCTATCCCCCAAACGGCCCAGCCTTCACCTGCCCGTGGCCACCCTCCACGTATCTCTACGTCTCTCCACGCCCCCCCCCCCTCCCCACGCTCCGTGGCAATGAGGAGGTCGGCCATCTTCACTCCGGAGGCCTTCCATGCCTCTATTAGCTTCTTGTTTCTATTAGCTTCTTGTTACTACTAGTATAAGGCACTTGTTACTACTAGTAAGGCACCTGTTCCTATTAGCTTCTTGTTTCTATTAGCTTCTTGTTACTACTAGTAAGGCACTTGTTCCTATTAGCTTCTTGTTTCTATTAGCTTCTTGTTACTACTAGTAAGGCACTTGTTCCTATTAGCTTCTTGTTACTACTAGTAAGGCACTTGTTACTACTAGTAAGGCACTTGTTCCTATTAGCTTCTTGTTTCTATTAGCTTCTTGTTACTACTAGTAAGGCACTTGTTACTACTAGTAAGGCACTTGTTACTATTAGCTTGTTGTTTCTATTGGCTTCTTGTTACTACTAGTAAGGCACTTGTTACTACTAGTAAGGCACTTGTTACTATTAGCTTATTGTTTCTATTGGCTTCTTGTTACTACTAGTAAGGCACTTGTTACTACTAGTAAGGCACTTGTTACTATTAGCTTGTTGTTTCTATTGGCTTCTTGTTACTACTAGTAAGGCACTTGTTACTACTAGTAAGGCACTTGTTACTATTAGCTTATTGTTGCTATTGGCTTCTTGTTACTACTAGTAAGGCACTTGTTACTACTAGTAAGGCACTTGTTACTATTAGCTTATTGTTGCTATTGGCTTCTTGTTACTACTAGTAAGGCACTTGTTACTACTAGTA